TGTGAGTGCGATTGTGAGTATGTGTGTGAGTGATTGTGAGTGTGTGATTGTGAGTGTGTGTGCGATTGAGTATGTGTGTGAGTGTGCGATTGTGAGTATGTGTGTGAGTGATTGTGAGTGTGCGATTGTGAGTGTGTGTGTGAGTGTGCGATTGTGAGTATGTGTGTGAGTGATTGTGAGTGTGCGATTGTGAGTATATGTGTGAGTGATTGTGAGTTTGTGAGTGAGTGATTGTGAGTATGTGTGAGTGTGAGTGATTATGAGTCGCGATTGTCGGTATGTATGTGAGTGTGAGTGATTGTGAGTATGAGTGAGTGTGTGTGTGAGTGTGATTGTAATCGAGAGTGAGAGTGAGAGAGTGTGATTGTGTGTGTGTGTGTCTGTGAGTGTGAGTGTGTGTGTGTGTGTGTGTGTGTGTGTGTGACTGACCCTCTGGGTGCTTGTACTGGTCAGTGATGTCCTGTCTGCTGTCGCTGCCCACAGCTTTGGTGCTAATATTCTGTCCGACAGTCTTCGTGTCTGAAAGGATCTTCTTCTTGGAGCCATTGGCCATGACCAGCCACGTGATCTTGTCTGCATTGACCTCTCCGTACACAAAGGGTATGTCATATTTGACGTCCGTGTGACCCTCCAGGATGGCCTTGACCGGCGCTGGACCGCAGCAGTAAGTACCTGGACCGAATATGGAGAGATAATTTCTGTTAAACGCTTCGGTTTCCACTGAAGATTCACTCATGTAATGTTACTTATATATAGTGCTTTGCTTTGATTTATTCTCTAAATCAGGCTTTCCCAAACTGGGGAAAAAGTAAAATGTAAATATTTTTTAAATAATACTATTATTTTATGTATTAATTAGTAGTTATTTACTAATAATTAAATAACAAAATGTAAAATTAAAATGAATAATCATAAAAAAAATACAAAAAATGTATTAAATCACATTAATGAATTAAATACTGAAAATGTCAAATTAAAATAAATCTTTAAAAATTTAAATCTTTAAAAAAAGTTTTGCATCATAATTTAATTTAACAGTAAATAACTTTAAAATAAAAACAATCACTACATTTTTTTATCATTTTAATTGCATCAAATTAAAATAAATAATTTAAAAATAAAAACGTGTGAATCTCTGAACTGAATGTAATATCTCTTATATGTGCTGTAGATGTGTTCACCTGAGCTCCTCTCCTGCGGCGTTGGGTCCAGAACCTGCCAGCCGTCATAGAGCGAGTCCTGAGAGAGATCGGGACGCCTCATCCAGCCCTCCACCCAAACGTGGTAATTCCTGCAGCACATTCATAATGAGAGTCACGTACTGCCCTCCGCTAACAGTAACCACCATTACAACACAATCAGAGACCCATAACAGAGCGGTAACGTGACGTCAGACTCTCACCAAACACTGTCCAGGTTTCGTTTGGGTCTCACGCCGTAGTCACTGAAGTATTCATCAATGACGAGGTTCTGATCCGTGTCATGAGCCGACTGATAATTAGTAATGACGCGACTCGGGATCCCCAGACATCTCAGCACTGCAGACGCACGACAGAGTGATTACACTTCACTCAAAACATAAACTACCAGTTTGGTACTTAAATAAATGTTAACTGAAATAAAATATAAAATAAATAAATAAATAGTTTTTAACCATAAACTACAGGCTTGGTACTTGAAAAAATGTAAACTGAAATAAAATGTTACAAAACAAACTTATTTAATTTTTTGGCTTGTTGCCAAGGCAACATGTCTCATTTTTGTTTAGTCTGACTTGATGTACCAAAATAACTAAAAATTAAAATTAATAAAAAAATATCTAGAAATATATATTAAAAAATCTTAATAAAAATGTCAAAAATCCACAATAAAATTGCTAAAACTTTAATAAAAAATAAAATGACAATGGAATAAAATAAAATTAAATATAAAATAAAAATGATAATAGTATCTCAGTTATACTAAAACAACACTGTGTGTAGTGTGTGTGTGTGTGTGTGTAGCATGTGTGTACCGGTGCACATGACCGCTGCAAACACCCAGCACTGTCCGAATTTGACGGGATGGCAGTCGTATTTGATCCAGTGTCTCAGGATGTCCACGCTGCTGCTCCAGTTGGACGGAACCACGCCTCCGATGTACGTCCCGTCCCACTGACCCATCAGCACCCCCTTATCATCGTCTGAGTTGATCTGAACACATCAATACTCATCACTGCTCATCTGCATATGATAATGACGCAGCTCGCAGAATATTCATCACTGCTCATCTGCATATGATAATGATGCAGCTCATTTAGCCTCATTATCATATGCTGATATATCATATGTGACTCTGCAGCACAAAAGCAGTCATAAGTAGCACAGGTATATTTGTAGCAATAGCCAACAATACATTTTATGCCAAAAATCATTAGGATATTAAGTAAAGATCATGTTCCATGAAGATATTTTGTAAATTTCCTACCGTAAATATATCAAAACTTAATTTTGATTGTGAGTATCAATTGTGTTAATTAGTAATATGCATAGCTAAGAACTTCATTTGGACAACTTTAAAGGTGATTTTCTCAATATTTAGATTTTTTTGCACCCTCAGCCAAATATCTTACTGCTAAGATAAATATAAATTACTGCTCATCTGCATAGGATAATGAGACAGCTCATTTAATATTCGTCACTGCTCATCTGCATATGATAATGAGGCAGCTCATTGAATATTCGTCACTGCTCATCTGCATATGATAATGAGGCAGCTCTTTGATTCACTGGTCCACGATCAGATATGAATGTGTTGCTGTGATGTGTATCAGTGGAGGATGTTGTGGTTTCTGTTACCATGGCGCTGACCACTCGGCTGATGTAGATGGGGTTGCAGCGGGCTGAATAATCCTCTGCCGCGTCTTTAAGACACTTGGGGTTCACATCCAGCAGCTTCAGACAGATGTCAAGGATATCCTCCTCAAACTGCAGAAAGCACAGACACCAGCTCAGATCCTGCTCACCGCTCATGCCAATGTGTGTGTGTGTGTGTGTGTGTCTCTTATGCTCTTCAAGGTGAGCTGTATTTTCAGCATCATTACTCCAGATCTTACTGATCCCAAACTTCTGAATGGTAGTGTATATTCAAGTGTATTACATTTTTATTTTAAAAACATAATTCAAAATGTAAACTTTAAAAAAAAAATGCACTTGTTGTTTTTTATTTCAGTGCAAAAGTACAACAGCAACAAATCTAAATCAGAAATCTTGGTGATGTTCTCACCTGACCGAAGTCCCAGCTGGTGTTGGTGATGTATTCATCCACTCCCTTATACAGGATTCCCTGCTCGTTCATGACAAACTCCTGCCGCTCCGCGTCACTCGACAGAAACACCCCGTCATCTGCAGAGACCAGAGCGGGACCCTAGGGCTGAGCATCGGTTCAATTTGATTGATTCCGATTCTTATCGATTCCCTGTCTTTAAACAATGTGGTTAAAGTCAAACATTTAGATATCAAGCATATTTATTCTGTGTCTCTTTTTGCAAAACATTTAATTGCTGCTGAATACCATGAACAAAAATCAGCCGGCTGCATAAAAACTGGACTCGATTAAGAGCTGTTTGTGTGCAAAATAGAGCCACACAATTCTGGATAAATTGAGACTTTTTTTTAATGGAGGTTGTAGTTCTCTCACAATTCTGAAGAAAAAATATTAGACAACTAAA